ACAGGTACATCTGCAGGGAGTCAAGCCAAATTTGTGGTCCAAACTCAGCTCATGGGGTTGGCATGGTGGAAACCAGAGCATGGGTGGGACCAACCTCTAGAAACTGACAGTTCTGTTTGTGAAACTGAGAATGGGCTTCCCTCATGTGGACCACTGTCTGCACAGAGCTTTTCTGGGGTCACTGGTGAGACAGGGACAGTGGCCTGCTCACAACCACATGTTCCTTCAAGCATGCATTTGAATTGGGAAAAAAACAAGCAAAAAAAAACCAACCAAAAACACCACCACCACCAAAAAACAACATCAAAAAAACCCCCCCAAACCTTTTTCTAAGCAGGGCAATTTAATAAGTATGTTAGTGTCATGCAGAATATGACCTTGAGAAATGACCAGGGCTATAATCTTATTGGAGAGTTGGTTTTTGTGCTCCCCAGTCACAGATGAAAACTCTGTAGTGCTGCCAGTCTTGAAATGCTGGTGAGTCTGTCTTACAAATTACATGCAAATACAATATAAATATGAAGTTCTGTTTGTTTGTCTGGTTCTGGAGCCCTGGGCCATGTTTTCAGGCTTTTCTCTGCAACTCTGAGAGAAAAAAGAATAATTTCATATTGAAATTAAAAAAAACCAGCAAAACAATAACCCAACCAAAAAACCTCTGATATTGTTTTGCAACTGCTAGCTGACAGGAACTGGAGCTTTAAGCAAAATATCAGATATAATGAAGCTTGTGATAAAAGGCTGCAAGAGCTGGCAACTCTGCACTGGAGCTCCACTTCCAGCACTGACTATTCCCTGTGGCAAGGAGCAGATTTCACAACGCCAAGGAAAGAAGAAGCTGCTCAATGGCCAGAGGACAGTCTGTAAACACTGCAGGAAGCTGAGGGGCCAAGGAGAAAATCACCACGGCTGCTCCTCCCAAAGACAGCAGGTGCCTCAAGCTGAGGTTGGTGGGGGTGATGGATTCCACTCTGACACAACTCGTGCTTGGGTTGTCTTGGCTCCAAACAGATACCCCAGCTGACGAACCAAACCAAATCAGGGCTGGGTACATTCTGTATCACCATCTCTCACAGTGGGACCTGCTTATCCACCTTGTCCACCTTGGCAGCTCCCAAATATCTGCTTCTGAGCAGATCTGACTGCAGCAGAGGTGCTGCAGCCCCAGGCCAGACCTGGGGCAGAGGCACCCAGCACATCCCCAGGGCCACCAGAGTGCTGCAGAGAATCACAGAATGACTAGGCTGGAAAAGACCTCCAGGGTCATTGAGTCCAACCCAGCCCTAACACCTCAACTAGACCATGGCACCAAGTGCCACATCCAGTCGTTTTTTAAACATGTCCTGGGATGGTGACTCCACCACCTTTATCAAAATTTCAGCGAAAAGACTTTTTCCTAATATCCAGCCTATATTTCCCTTGAGACTTGAGACTGTGTCCTCTCCGTTGCTGCCTGGAGAAACAGATCAACCCTCACCTGACTAAACCCACCTTTCAGAAAGTTGTAGAGGATGAGAAGGTCACCCCTGAATCTCCTTTTCTCCAGGATAAACAACCCCAGCTCCCTCAGTTGCTCCTCACAGGATTTGTGCTCCAATCCCCTCACCAGCCTCGTTGCCTCCTCTGGACACTCCCAAGCATCTCAAGGTCCTTCCCAAACCCCTTCTGAGGGGTCCAGATCTGGACACAGCCCTTGAGGTGTGGCCTCACCAGTGCCGAGTACAGGGGAAGAATGACCTCCCTGCTCCTGCTGGCCACGCTATTCCTGATCCAGACAAGGAGCCATTGGCCTCCTTGGCCACCAGGGCACTCTGCTGGCTCATGTCCAGCTGCTGTCACCAGCACCCCCAGGTCCCCTTCTGCCTGGGCACTGTCCAGTCACACAGTCCTCAGCCTATAATGCTGCAGGGGGTTATTGTGGCCAAAATTCAGGATTTGGCACTTGGACTTATTAAACTTCATCCCACTGGTCTCTGCCCAGCCATCCAACCGCTCCAGGTATCTCTGCAGAGCTCTCCTCCCTTCCAGTAGATCAACACAGGCTCCCAGCTTAGTGTCATCTGCAAATTTACTAATGAAAGACTCAATATCCTCATCCATGTCATCAATAAAAATGTTCAATAGGACTGGCCCCTGCACAGACCCCTGAGGAACACTACTAGTGAGTGGCCACCAGTTTATGTTGGGAGTGATGGTGAAAAACAGAAAAGTAGAACTAAGTTAGTGGTGGCCACTGTAGATGAAGTAATAAAGCAGTGACCAGGAAATGGGGTTGGGAGAGGAAGAGGAGTAGCACAGAGAAGCCTTCAGCCTCATGTTAGGAGAGCTCAGGGACAAGGATGGGGGATGACCACTCAGCAGACAGGTCCCAGCAAGTGCTTCTGCTGTGGAACACCGTGGGGCACTCCAGAAGAGAATGCCCAGCATTGCAGGGGAGGTTAAAATCTTCCAGATGCTGCACTGGTCTTGTTGCTTTCCCCAAGTTTTCAAGGGAGGTCTCCTCCAATTAATTTCATGTTTAGCAGAGGCAGTGAGGCTGCTTGTAAAACTTTGGCTGAGTGCTGCAGCCTGTGAATAAGGGAGTGCTTTAGCCACTTGAGCTGGGTTTCTTGCAGGGTTTTTAGCAGGCTTCTTCTTCTCTACCCAGAGCAATGAATGAACCTTACCAGCCTGGTTGAGAATGTTCTCTGTGTTTCCTCCAGTGATTCTAATGCTCTGCCATCCACCCAGCTTCTCACCATGAGCCCACATTGGTGTGGACTGGATCTTTTTTTCACCAGAGCTGGCAATGTTTTGCTGTTCCTTTGCTTTTGTTTACAAGGCAAGGCATAGTTATACACTTCCTTTACGATGATAAATGTCATGGACTTCTACCATTTTTCTCTTCAGCTTGGACTAACCTAATAAATTTAGCAAGTTCTGATTGTTCTCAGCTTGCTTTACTCCACCATGGTTTCCCCCTCTCAACCTTTTGCAGTCCTGTTGTGTTGCCTGTGTAGTTCAACAAGAAACTTCCCTTAATGAGGGGATGTCCAATGCCAGAGATTGCCCAGCAGTCCAGTGCAGCATTCCTGCCTGGAGCAGAGCTGGTGCATGGAGTGCTGATACCTCTTCTGGCTGTGAAAACTTCACTGAGAAGTTGTGTGTGCAGAGCCAGAATTGTTTTTTCAATGTTTACATTCCTTTTCATCTTCTGAAAATGAAATTTATCCACTCACTAGCCTCTCTAAGAAACAATTCCTGCAACATTTGTGCCTCATAATTAGTATTAACTCAGTGACTAATATTGGGCTAATTGCAAACACAGCTTGGTAATTACAGTAAACCTCCTCTTTGTTTTCATTTTAAAGTAAAGAAATTTCTGAACATCAATCTTATTCCAGCTAAAGCTCATTTTTTTCAATGTATTTGATAAAAAATTCAGATCTCAGCAGTGTCTTTTCACTTAAATTTTGCATTAATGTAATGTCTTCTACCATGTCCAAGAAGCATTTGTTGTGACTGATGTTTCTTGTGTCTGTTATGAATGCCAAGAAAATGCAGTATTTGGTGTTCTGACACAGCTCTCTGTATTCATGATGTGGGACAGCACGAGTGCTGATGAGCAGGAGTTCCTGCTGATGGAGGGGACAGGGATGAGGATGCAGCAGGCACAGTGCCAAGCTGAGAGAGGGGTGATCTCTGACAGTGGCACTGAAGGTGAAGAGTTTCCAGGCAGGACAGAAAACAGCTCTTTGTTTTATCTCTTCTTTCAGTGCTGCTAAGAGTTTCCAGGCAGGACAGAAAACAGCTCTTTGTTTTATCTCTTCTTTCAGTGCTGCTAAGAACTAAAATGTATAAATAATAATAAAAACTAAATATAATAAAATTATACCTATTAATTATATTCATTAATAATAATAAAAACTAACTATAAATAAAAATAAGAACTAAAAGCTGGAGAAAGCTGGGAACACAGGAGCATGGAGCCCTTTCTAGGGCTGTGTTGGCTGAGGGGGCAGAGGGAGCCCAGCAGGGATCAGACACAAAGCAGCAGTGAACTGAGCCCCTGTGGTGGCAGCAAGCAGCTCTGGGCTCCGGTCACTGCTCGTGGCATTTTCTGCTGGACCATCTCTCAGAGGTCTCATGTTGTGCTCTGTGTTTGTGTCTGCCCTCTTGGTGTGGGTTGTCTTCTGCACCTTGGTTTGTCCAACTTTTCCCAGCCTGTCAGCAGCAGCCCCTGTGCAGAACCGGCTAGAAAACATGAGCAGAGCAGCTGGGAGCAGCAATGCATGGAATCCTGCAGCTCAAGAGCTCTCCTGTCAGAGTCCTGACTGAGCCTTATCTATCAGCACCTCCTCTTCTGTGCACAAAACAGTGATTGGGGGAGGTTTTTGGCTTAGGAGCTGTCGAGAAGCCAATGCTCTGCTGGGATTGTCATGAGTGAATGCAGGATGTTGATTGCTGGCAAACAGAATGTAAGGGCAGGGTAGCAGATCAGCTGGGGGCTGCTGACTCCCTGCAAAGGCCTTGTGTATAAGGGAGGAACAGCAGGGTGGGAGAGAAGGGTGAATGTGCTCAAGTGTCAGCAGGTGAGGCTTAGGTTGACCTAGAGGGCGGTCAGGGGTGGTGAGCACTGGGAGATGCAGCTCCAGTGCCCATTTTCCTTTGAATGGTGGCTTTAGGGTGTCTGCAGGCTGGATCCAGAGTGGCCTGGGGGCTGCTGGGGCTGGCTTTGGCATCAGCGGGAGGATGGCCAGGAGCCGCTGAGGCCGGCGGTGGGGACGAAGGCTGGAGCTGTGGGCTGGGAGCTGAGGCACTGGGGGCTGTGAGGTGCCAGGGCACGGCTCACAGTGGGAGCTGTGACAGAGGCGCTGCCAAGCTGTGTGACAGGCTGCTGACATCACAGAGGCCAGGTGCCGCCAGCACGTGTGTCCAGGGCCAGCAGCGGGCAGGTGGAGTCTGTCAGGCGGTGAGTGCACACGCAGGGGGAACGCTGGGCTGGGTGGGGGCTGGCAAAGCTGGGCTGGGGGTTTCAAGGCAGAGTGAGAAGTGGGATCGTCAGGGCTGCCAGTCCAGGTGGCCCCAGGTCCCTGCTGGCTCCCAGGCAGAGGTGCTGAGTCCCCTTTCTGCCAGCAGGCCATGCCTCCAATACTTGCTCTCGTCCTGGTCCTGGTAGCCACCCGCAACTTGCTGAAAGGGAATTTACAAGTTCAGAAGGATGAAATCAAAGAGATGCTGGAGCGTGAGGAATATGTGCATCAGGAGATGACTCGGCTCCTGGAGGAGATTGTGGGGAGCAGTGGCCCCATGGAAATGCTGCTGTCTTTTGCCTGGCAACATCAGTGTCTGCTCTGGGCCAGTGCAGCAGTGCTGCTTCTGGTTCTTCTGGCTATGGGCTGCTGGCTGGTGAGGAGAAGAAAGCGTGGCTGTGGCAGCTGCAGGGAGCTGAAGTGTTTCAAGAAATACGTGATGGTTGCGAGCAAGGAGCCCAGCGGAGAGGAGGTCAGTGATGACGAGGTTCAGGTCAAGGGTGCAGAGTGGTGGCAGCCCTTTGGCTGTGCCCACCCCATCAGTGATGGGCACATCCAGGATAAAGCTGGAGCCGCTGTCAGCGCCCTGATCTAGTTGAGAACGTCCCCACAGCTCATGGCTGTGGGGTCACACTGGACGGCCTTGCAAGGTGACTGCCAAGCCCAACCCTTCTGGGATTCTGTGCTTCTCCAGCAGGACCTGTCCAGCACGAAGGGTCTGAAGGAGCTGCTGGACGAGCTCCTCGGTGTCTGCCGAGTGCTGTCCCGAAGGAATTTCATGCCGGAGTTGCACCTGGTCGCCGGGACGTACAGCAGCTGTGAAGTCTGCAGCGTCCAGGAGAACAGCAGCACCTACCGCCCGCTGGTCCTGCTGCGGCCACCCCCCGGCCACTCCTTCATCCCGGAGAGCACGGAGCATCCGCCAGCCGG